TAGGCCGGTGGTTTTGTGGCTTGGTGGTTACGGTGACCAGATTCAACACGGCCAACTGCATGGTTCAAGACCCTGATGCAGTAGCTTGAAAAACACACTGGGTGACTGTGTGTGTGGGACCAAAAATGGAGATGTGATTGTTGTGTGATGATTTAGTGATAAAAGAAAAAAGAAAAACCTTAAATGTTCCTGAATAGAAACTTATTATTAAATAACTGGGTAAGGAACCAGCAGATGGTATAATTGTTATGTGGTTGGACTCCCATGTAGTTGACCATGGTTCAAGTCCTGGACCTGGGGGCTTAAAACTCACGCCGGGCTCATGTGTGTGCCTGCCCAAATTCCCGAGAGGAAAATGGAGGAAAGGGATTGTGATGTGACCATCCCCCAGAGGGGGTGATTTCTCACTTTCTGTCTCTCTGTCTCTCTGTGTCTCTCTGTCAAGCACATGAGCCCTATAGCAAAAATCTCTCTTAAAAAAATATGTAAAATTTCTCCAACCTTACTTAGAAATTTAAAACAATTCTAGTCTAAACTTTAGCAGAAATTTTAAAACTATAAAATAATATTAAAAAGTGAAATCAGAAAAATAAACATTTAAGAATACCAACTTTACTTTTTTCTTTTGATTGTTGAGGGGGAAAAAGTGTGAGAGACTTTTAAATCAACCACAAAAGCTAGTGATATCGTCAATGGAAAATTGGGCATTGTGTTCATTACCTAATTCTGCGAGGTCTTTGTGCTTTTCATTATCTCTGAACAACTTCATGACTCTTTTTTGCTTTATTTTACTGCTGCCGTTGGAGAGAGACAGAGTGCAAGTGAGAACGCACCCCCCAGGAAAGACAGCCACACCACAATCCCTTTTCTTCCATTCTCCTTTTGGGATTTGGGCCCTCACTCACATGCAACCAACATGTATTTCCAGCCGCTAATTCCAAGACTCGAACAACACAGTTGGCAATGTGGGATCCAGTTGCCCCCAGTCACCACATCGCAGGCTGACCCGCAACAGGTTCTTTTATTCAAAGACTAAACAACAGTACCCAGGGCTGGAGTGCTGCACAGCAGTAAACGTGCTCTGTGAGGGTGACTGACATGGGAAGGTTCCAGGTTTGTGTCTAAGGACTTCCCCAAGTGTGCCAGGTACTCGTGCCCCCAGACTGGGGACTGGCTGAGGCTGTAGGTGGATCACGGCAGCCCTATTGGAGGGATCAGCAGTTAGCGTAATGGCTATGTTGCTGAACTCCCATGTAGTCAACCGCAGTTTGGGTCCCGGACCCGGTGGCTTAAACTCATGCCGAGCGCGTGTGCGTGCGTGACCAAGATCCTGAGAGGAGAATGGAGGAGAAGGTGTTGTGGTGTGGCCATTCCCCCTGGGGGGTGATTTCTCGCTTTCTGTCTCTCTGTCTCTCTCTGGCTTTCTGGCGAGCACACACGCCCTAGAGCAAAAAAACCTCTCCAAAAAAACCAAAAAACAAAAAAGACCTTATTGGAGATACTGTGTGTGTCTCTCTCTGCCTCTCTTGCTCATGGGATAAATGAAGAAATGAATAAACTTTTTATAAAGTTAAAAAAAAAAGGACATTGCAGCAAAAAGTTAAAGAAACAATTTTCCTTCAAATCGCTGAAGACGGCATCCACTCACATGAACTCTTCCTTTGTCAGCCTTTCTAGATATGGGAGAACTGACCCCCCCAGGTTTTTCCATCTCTACAATTCTCAGGTTCTTTATATTTCTTTGGAAATACTTCTATTTTCTAGGAAACGTTCCCAAACACTGGTAGCTTTAACCTTACTACATATGGTCAAACAGCAATGCGTACCAGATTCAGAAATATTATAAACTCCAACCCACCAGACATGGCTGGTTAGAGCCAGTGTTTGTGTTCAGAGAAGAGGCCTCTTCAGTTTTTTTCTTTTATCACGGAGGAACCATTAGCTTTTCCATAGTCCAAGTTTACTATACCCTCAGCCAAAACTATGATTTTGTAATTCTCCAGCCAATGACCTCAAGCCTGACCTACAGCAATCACCCCCATGGGACAGAAAAGGTCACTTAAACACCTCAACCTCTAGTCATCGGGAGAATTCAAAATCTCATCTCAACTTAGCATTCTGAAGGTTAAGGTCTTCTCACAAAAGTAATACAGAAAGAATGAGTAGTGATTTGGAAGAAAAAAAAAAGTTGGAATAAGATTTGGCTTGATCTGAAAATTTCAAATGTTTTCACAATATTCCTTCTTTTTTTTTTTTTTAAGGTTTTTGCCATAAGGCACACGCACGTGCCAGAGAGAGACAGTGAGAAACACCCCTCAGAGAGATGGCCATGCCACAATCCCTTATCCTCCATCTCCTGGGATTTGGGGCATGCACGCATGTGAGTTTCAAGACACTGAGTCTGGGACTTGAACCACAGTCAGCCATGTGGGTGCCCAGCACCTTAACCACCATGCTACCCTCTGGGCCCTACGATTCCTTCTGTGATATGAAAATGGATGTAATTTGATTTCATTCATTTAAACTCTCCAAAATAATACGCTGTCTGAAAAGCTAAGTTTTGGGCAGACGCTTACTAATAGAGTAATGAGTTACAGTAAAGAGTCCATTTAGAAGCCACTGGTATTCTAAAATACTCAGCTAAATGTAGTGTTTTCACTATTCATACAGAAAGTTAAATACATTAGGAAAAACATTCTGACTACCATAAAAGCAACCATTTAAAAATTTTAGCATTATGCAGTCTATGAACAGCAAAGGGTACTGATTTCTCATTTTTCTTATTTATTCATTATAGAACATCTATAGTAATCTATCTTATATGTATATCTTTAAAAAGAACTTAAGACAACTTGTTTACTCAAATACATAAGACAGAAGAGTTTTTTGTTTGTTCGTTTGTTTTGAAGAGGTTTTTGCTATAGGGTGCGTGCGCTCACCAGAAAGAGAGAGAGAGATAGAGAGAAAGTGAGAAATCACCCCCCCCACCACCACCACCGGGGGTATGGCCACACCACAATCCCTTCTCCTCCAGTCTCCTCTCAGGATCTTGGGCATGCACGCATATGCACCCGGCAAAGAGTTTTAACAACTAAAAATGAGCAGCACACATCACTCAGAAAGAAAGAACTAGTGGTACCAGCAGTTAGATCGCTTACATTAATTGATCGCTATATTTAGCTCTAATTTTCCTGGAAGGCAAAGCAATAAGGGAAGTAAGATGTGTTCTAAAAATTGTGCTGTTTGATAAAAAGGTCACTGAAAAGTAAATTCTTCCCTGGCATCAATTCTTTATGAACTTTCTGAGCAACTCCATCCAAAAGGAACTGTAGCATAAGCGCCAACTCCTCAATTGTAACTGCAAAACATTAAGAAAATATTCTTCGCGTTGTCTTAAAAAACAAAGGTTCGACAATCAATCATAACTTTGTAACAGCATTTCTTGAAGAGATTAAAATAATGCATTTCAAGAACATTGTATTCTATTGATCTAATTTAAGACAAAGTCAGATTTTAGGGAATTTGCAATAGTTGGTCAATATGTCCCTCAGGTCCTCCCTCTTTAACTAGACCCTGTGTCTAATTAAGTGTGGATGCTCCTCAACTTATGATGGCGTTGGGTCCCAATAAGCCCATGGCAAATTGGAAACATCATTAAGTGGGCCAGCCCCTTAATGCAGTGGTTAAACTCAGAGCGTGAGGATCCAGATCCCACATGGCCAAGCTCTGCTTGAATCCTGCCCCAGTGCCTTGAGAAGCAGTCAGGCATGTAAGCATGCATGCCCAAATTCCTGACGGGATGGAGAAATAGAGGAAAAAGGATCGCAGCATGACCATGCCCGATTAGGGCTGCTTTCTCTCTCTCTCTTTCTCTCTCTGGCAAGCTCACATGCCCTCTGGCAATTAAAGATTTAAAAAAAAAAAAAGAAAGATAAGGAAAAATAAAATATTATTAAGTAAAAAATGCATTTAAGGGTCACCAGGTGATATGGTGGTTAAGACACTGGATTTCCACACAACTTACTGCAGTTCAAGTCCTGGATCCAGAGACTTGAAAATCATGCTGGGCACGTGTACATGGATGCCCAAAATCCCAAGAGAAGAAGGGATTGGGGCATGGCCATCCCCCTGGGCAGTGATTTCTCACTTTCTCTCTCCCTGTCTCTCTCCAGTGAGCACACGTGCCTTATGGCAAATAAATAAATAAATAAATAAATAAATAAATAAATGCCTTTAATACTCACCCTACTGAACATCAGAGTTTAGCTTGGTCTACCTTACTTATGCGTAGAATACTTGGATACCATTGGGCAAGATCATCTAACACAAGCTCTATAATAAAGCATTGACTATCTTATGGAATTTATTGGCGACCGTATTGAGAAGCGTTGTATGAATATTCAAAGTACAGTTTCTACTGAATGAATATCACCTTCACACCACTGTCCTTTGAATGATCATAAATCAGGAGCCATCTGTACTCATTATTTCTTATAATCATAAAAATGTTCATAAACATAAGTACAAAGAGGAAAATATTGGTATACTGTCTGTAGCCAGAAATGATCATTTGAACATATTGCTGGTATATCCTTCACGGACAGAGAGGTGAATAGATAGGGCGGGAGATATAGACAGCTTTCATTCCGACAAAATTAGATCATACCAAATGCACTGCTTCGTCACCTTATTTTCTATTTATCAATATGTTATGAGTATCTGTATATGTCATTAAGTATTTTTACAATCATATTCCTTCTTTTTTAAAAAGAATTATGTCTTTAATTTGATTTATTCATTCATTTACTTTAATTTGACCAGAGAGAAATACAGAGAGAGAGAGAAGGAAATGAGAACGCAAGCTACCAGGTATGGAATTCGAACCGTGGTTGGCCATGTGGGAGTATCCAGCGCTTTAACCACCACGCCACCTGCTGGCCCCCAACAACCGTATTCCTTCTTTTTTGATTGCCAGAGGGTGTGTGTTCTCACCAGGGAGGAAGAGAAAGAAAGCATCCCCCAGTGGTGTGGTCGTGTTGCGATCCCCTTTCCTCTATTTCTCTATTTGGGGCTCATACGCACATGAGCCAGCATGTGGAGGCTGGGATTCCAACTGCGGTCGGCCACATGGACCCCAACTCCCTTCACCTGCTGCACCATGGGGCCAGCCCTGTAACTTTATTCCTAATAACATCTTATTATTTCATTGCATCTGTATACTGTACTTTATATTACCTATATGCCTGTAGGTATTTAGGTGATTCCCAATTTTTCAATTGTATCTTATGACCTAATTCCTTTTTTTAAAAGGTTTTTGCTATAGGGTGCTCACCAGAGAGAGAGAAAGAGAGAGAGAGAGAGAGAGAGAGAGAGAGGAAAGTGAGAAATCACTCCCCTAGGAGGAATGGTTACATGAAAATCCCTTCTCCATTCTCCTCCTGAGATTTTGGACACACATGCATGCGCACCCAGCATGGTTTTCAGGCTGCCGGGTCCAGGACCCTAACAATGGTAGAGTCATAGCCATGTGGAGTCCAGTGCCTTAACCAGTATGGCACCTGCTGGCCCCCTGGTTTCTTTCTCATGGTTAATTCCTTGCTCTTGTGTCAATTTGATTTCCCTTTCACAGGGCTCTTTGCACATATAATGATTTATATAACATCCATTCACAGATAGCATGTAATCCCAGGCTTTGATATAGAATAAATACTTTTGACTGAATAAACGAATGTTTTAAGAGTCTGGGGTACGTTTTATTGTTGGTCTGAAGAAGCTGAATCTTTTTTTAGCCAGAGCATGTGTGCACTCTCCAGAGACAGCGGGTTAGGGGGACATCACCCCCTAGTGGGGCAGGGTCATGCCGCAGTCCCTTCTCCCTTAGTCTACTGGGATTTTAGGCATTGGGATTCTAGGCATGCGCACGCACGCACCCACACACACACACGTGTGTTTTTCAAGCCTCTGGGGCTGGGATTTGACTGCCATCTACCACGTGGTATCTGGCTTCCAGGGCACGGTGTCTAACCACTCTGCCAAGGAGCTGGCCCGAAGTATCAATTGAGATCTTTCCCAAACCCTTGTCTCTCTCCACATTTCCTCGCATTCTCTTAAAACAAACCTCTGAGAAATTTGAAATGCAACAAGTGGCTGTTCAGTATTAGTTTAATTTGGATATTAAAATTACTATAGAAATTAGACAGTTTTTAATGGATTTCTTGCTTCATGATTCATTAGGTTGAAATCTTGCAAGTTCTAGGAGACAGTTATGTCAGTGTTATCTGGAAAGTGCCTAAAACACTAATATCCGAAGCAATCCTCTCTGGGCTAAGGTACCAGACAGCCAGGCAATGGTTTAGGACTTGGCACTTTGAGTCTAGTAGGGATGGATGGCCATCTCTGCCCAGCCGAGGGCCAGAGGGACCCCTATGAACTGGACCTTTGGGGACTCGGTAGGAAGGCCTGGCCAAGCACACTGACCTTTTCCTTGTTCTTTCCTGCTCTTCACAATCCTCACAAGACGTGTATTTTGTTTTTAAAGGAACAAAGGATAAAAATATAAATGGACTATTCTAAGTGTTTAATTTCTTTTCCCCCTTACTGTGCTCATTTTCTCTCAGGTTTCCTGTTCATTTCTCCCCCATTTCCTAATCCACTTAGAGTAAATCCCAATATGCACTCATATCCTCTTCACTGGAATTAAGTACTACAATGACATCAGTGTGTAGGCTGCAAAAAGCTGCAGAAAGGATCTAACTTCTGAGAGACGTTAGTCATGCAGTTTGTGTGGCCCTGTCTTCACTTAGAGCCATCACATGAAGAAGGAAAAAAAAAAAAAAAAAAAAAAAAACAGCATTCCCAATAGGGTCTTGATGCAGTCTACCCCCGAAAAAAAAAAAAAAAAAAGACTATCACTCGGACTGAGAAAAATGATACAGAATTCTTTATTTTTCTAAAATTGCTGAGGAGTGTCATTTCTCTTGAGAATATAATCTAATTCATATCCATAAATCATGTGTCATGTCTTCTAATGGGTGGGGGCATCACATCAGGGCCTGTGATCAGCTCATTTGGCTATTTCTAGAAGATGCTCTTAATAAGGACAAAGCAGAGTAAATGCCAAAAGGCACTTACAAAGTACCTACAAGCGTACTTTTATCACACATTAGGGAGATAAAATGAAAACAACCCATAAAATGAAAAAAAAAAAAAACACAAAAAACGGGAGTTAGCAAGTGGTGTGGTGGGTAAGGCACTGGACTCCCACATGGCCAAGAGTGGTTTGAGTCCCAGAACTAGCAGCTTAAAAATCACTCTGGGTGCATGTTCATGTGTGACCAAAATCCCAGGAAGAGAATGGAGAAAGGACGGCAGCATGGTCATCCCTTCCCTGGGCATGGGGGGATTCCTCACTTTCCCTCTCACTGTCTCTCTCCCTCTCTCTGTGTCTCTCTCCAGTGAGTACATACACCCTATGTCAAACAAACAAACAACAACAACAAAAAGAAAGATAGTATCAATCATCCAGATCCTTTTAAAAATTAGGGACAATTTATGATACTGAAACTGAACACTTCTTTAAGAGTCGGGAAAAGTCAAGGAAGACTGTTGTCTGTCCAAGGCATTGATACAGATGTTCTTACGCAGGGTCTGACAATAAGACCTGCGACTGCCCCTTAGTTCGCTCAGGAAAGTCCACCATGTTGCATTAATCCATTCACTCTGCCAACGCTAAGACCATTTTGCACCTTCTCTATTTTTATTAAACTTTCGACAACCCTACTCCTAGTTTACTCCTTGCTTTGCTTACTTCATTGAGATGATGGAATTGATCAAAATAGAACTTTCTCAATTTTCCACCATCAAATTGCCAACCCGCGTGTGTCTGACCTGTGTCCTCTATCAGAACCCCAGCCTGCTGTGCCTTACTGAAGACTGTGGCCAACTGCTCCTCTCGAGGTCCGCTTCCACTTCAGTACCGGGTCACACTTTCTCTAGTTAACCAAAGCACTTTGCTCCGGCAACTCGGCTTTCTCCAGCATCAGTTTTCCTCTTTTCTAATGAATAATTCTCATCAACATAAAAATATGTATCCATTTTTCTATCTTCACAAAAGCCCCTCCCTTCTCCTGACCCCACGCCCCTTCCAGATACTACCTCATTTTCTGCTTCCTTTACAGCAAAATTCCTCAAGGTTTGTCTAATAGCTGCTGCTGCTTCCACCCATTTGTTGATCTTTTTTAGGCCTTTGATTTCATTTATTGCTCAAGCAACTTGATGACAACAAAAATAATGAGTAAAGAAAAGACTTCACTCACATTCCACTAGCCTAAGACAGCAATTATTTTTATTTTATTTGTGCATTGGTTTATATCCTTTTTTGCACTGTTGCAATCAATGGTCTAGGAATATTTTCATCTTACTCTCTTAGCTTAGCACGATAATGTCCTACTTTGCTACATAAGTTGTAGAATTAGTTTTTTAAAGAATTATTTTATTTTATTATTATTGTTATTTTCCTATAGGGCACGTGTGCTCACTGGAGGGACAGAGAAGGTGGGGGAAGTGAAAAAAGAAACCTCCAGGTCCAGGATTTGAACCAGAGTCAGCCATGTGGGAGTCTAACACCTTAACCACCACACCACCTGCCGCCCCCATAGAATTAGTATTTTAAGAATTAAATTTCATCAAGTTAATATGAGTCTTCAAAAGTTGATAGAAAATTGTATTATGAAAAAACTATGCATAGATTTCAAATTATTTTTTGCACCCAAATAAGCTCATACTTTAATTCTATATTCCATGAATGTTTTGATATCCCTCACATATGCATAATTCACTTTACCATTCTGCACTTGTTGGCTCCTTCGGTAGTATTTTGCCAGTGCTACAAATACTTCTATGGTTAAGAATCTTGTGCACTTAATTTACCAAATAGCTTTGGCATGAATTGTTTGCTCATGTACATATTGTAGAGGAGATTTTTAATAAGTGTTTTAACTATCCCCTGAAGTAGTGGCTGGTATTCTATATACTATTGAAAAAGTACTATGGGGCCAGCAGGTGGCATGGTGGGTAAGGTGCTAGATGCCCATGTGGCTGAGGTCAGTTTGAACTCCAGACCCAGCGACTTGAAAATCGCCAGAGAAGGCCAGGAGAGCCTTGTTCAGGCGTTCCACAGCAGCAGTCACTATGGAAAGCACGCAGCTTTACCTCCCCATAAAAGTACGAGCACAGAACGGCTCCAGGCTGGTCTACCCAACCCTGGTTTTCTCTGTCTATCCTTTCTCAATCCACAGACCTTCCCCTTGGGGTCCCAGGTCTTTCTGCCACCAGGCTGTGGCAGGGAAGTCTGGCAGCTTGGTTTACAGGTGACAGTCTTGGGAGAGGACAAGAGGTGGCCCACCCCAGGCCTGGGCCCAGCAGACACTACTCAACTTCTGGCTGACAGAACAGTCCTATTACAAGCAGGCACCTTCCCCAAGCCCTCTACTCGGAGCTCTCTCCGTTGCTCTAATTCAGGTGCCGTTCCTGTAAACACCACATGTGGTGGACCCTCCTTCACGGGATCCTCTGGAGCCATTCTCCGCCCTGCCTCAAGGGGCTGGCCTGAAGGGCTGCTCCAGTGTCCACCCTTGCTCTGCTAGACCAAAGGGAGGGGAGCGAGGCTGGGCCTCAGCGCCTTCCCTGTGATGTCACCTCAGGCCAGCTGTGACTCTCAGCTGAGGTCACTTGGTCCTCTCTGGGTGGACTCCTCTGCATGGTTCTTTCCTTCCAGGTTCTAGCAGTCTCCGTCCCCTCCTCCCTTTGTCCCTGTGGGCCTAGGAGAGGTAACAGCTCTGCTGATTATAGCCCTAGTGGGAGACTGAGCTTCAGAGTTCCTTTTTTTTTTTTTTTTTAATATGGAGAGGGTACTTGGGCTTGCTGGACAGAGACAGAGTGCAAAAGCGAGAAACCTTCACACACAAACCAGTGGGGCACGGTCACACTGTGATCCCTTCTCTCTCTCTCTCTATTTTTTAAATTTATTTTGAGCATACACGTGCACATCCTGTGTGTTTTCAAGCTGCTATGTCCAGTGCTCCAAACACGAGGCTGGCCACGTGGGATCCAGCCTCCCTAAACAGCAGGCCATAATCCAGCCCTATGCCCTAGGGCTCTATTCCTAAGTAAACATTGCTAAAATTATTTTAGTTTTGACTGTGTCATCCTGCTGAGACCTTGTTTGAGGTGGTACATACTTGAATTTTCAAATTTAATTGGAGAGTCTTTCCCTTTGATAGGAAAACTTTACATTTATAATAAAAACAAAGAATTTGATTTCTTATACATTTTTACATATTATTTTATCTCTGTTCCTTATAGTTTTTAGTTAACTATTAAGTTTTTCTTTATTTTAACTCTATTGATTTATTCCATGAGAAAGAGACAAACAGGCATCCCCCAACAGGGTCCTCATGCCACCATCCATCCCAAGTCTCAGCTGGCCCAGTTAAAGGGCACATACCTAGCATGCTCAGGGAGGCCCTAGGACATGACCCAGGACTTCCTCACAGAGGAACTGTTGTGCAACCACTCTGCCCCCACCTTACTTTCACTGGTTTCTTTTTATCCCCTTTCTCCTATACTCAAATTGGGATTGTCATTATTTATCTCCATTTCTCTACTCATGACTTTTCTAATTTTAAAGTTTTACTTATATGGGGCCAGCAGGTGGTATGATGGTTAAGGGGGCTTAGACTCCCACATGTTCGACCACGGTTCAAGTCCCAGACCTGGCAGCTTGCTTTCTCACTATCCCTTTCTTTCTGTCTTTCTCTCTCACTCTATCCCTCTCTGGTCAAATTTAAATAAATAAATAAATGAATAAATGAATAAATAAATAAAGTTAAATAAAAATAATTACTTAAAAAAGTTTTAATTGTAAGTAAAAATTAAAGAATTATGACTTCAAACTTGCTCACTCCCTGACATTTACTTTTCAGTTCTACTAATGGCTGTTTTTCTGGCTCCTAATTGTCATAATTAAATCTATGTGTTTCTGTCAGCATATAAAATATTACAGGGACCAGCAGTTAGCATAATGGCTATGTCACTGCACTCCCATGTAGCTGTTTGAGTCCCAGACCGGCAGCTTAAACTCACACCGGGCGCGTGTGCGTGCGTGCCCAAGATCCCGAGAAGAGAATGGAAGAGAAGGGATTGCAGCGTGGCCATCCCCCCTGGGGGGTGATTTCTCACTTTCTATCTTTCTGTCTTTCTAGCGAGTACACGCACCCTATAGCAAAAACCTCTCCAAAAAAAAAAAAAAAAGAAAGAAAGAAAAGAAAATATTACAAAACAACTTCGACTTTCTTCATGCTATATTATAAGTTCTAGGTGTCCCTACTCTCTCCGTTGAAATAAAATCTTGAGAACATTTCACTACCCATATCCTTTCTATTACCCAAGACTTGAGTTTGGACAAGATAATTATAGGTTTTAAGTCTCAGACTATTAACAAATTTTCCCTCATAGAATGATTCTCTTGTTTCAAAATGTTTAGAGTATAATTCTATTAACTTCATCATCTATTTAAATTTACTTATAAATACTATTGTATTCATTGTTCACCAATGTTTCTTGATGTTTTCTCTATTAACTTCATTGTTCACCAATGTTTCTTGATGTTTTCATCTTTCCTATCATAAATTTTAACATTCATTTAGAGAACTTTTATCAGAAAGGTACATAGGTAGGGTATTTTTCACATTTGTTGTGTGTGCTCATGAGAGAGAGAGAAGCATCCTTAACGGGGTCTCATCATCTATGACTCCCTTTCCCCAGCCCTCCAGCTCTAGGATTCTGGCACCTACGCACACACCTGGGATGTTTTCAAGCAGATCAGGAGATCCAAACTCATGGTCGGCCAATCAGCATCATTTTTCCCTTTTTTTTTTTCAGTTTTGCTATAGGACACGTGTGCTTGCTGATGAGAGACAGAGAGAGAGAGAAAGGAAAAGTTAGAAATCACCTCCCCAGGGGAGATGGCCCTGCCACAATCTCTTCTCTGTTCTCCTCTCAGGACTTCGAGTATGCATACACACACGCCCCACATGATTTTCAAGCTATCAGGTTCCGGACTGGAACCATGCTGTCAGTCATGTGGAATCCAGCTGCCTTAATCTCCATGCCATCTGCTGGCCCTAACGTCATTTTATATGATGGTATAATATTCCATCCTATGATTGATGCACCATTGCTTTACTTAACTATTTCTTCTGTACAAGGGGACACCAAAATTTTGTGAAAAAAACCCACTAAAGTACAAGTTTATTTTTGCACAAAAATTTTTGTGAAACCTTTGTATATAGCCTTTTCTTTTTTCTTTCCTTTCCTTCCTTTTTTTTGGGGGGGGGTAGGTTTTTGTTATAGGGCATGTGTACTCACCAGAGAAAGACAGTGATTTTCAAGCCACTGGGTCTAGGACTCAAACTGCAGTTGTCCACATGGGACTCCAGCACCTTAACCACCTCATCACCCGTCAGCCCGTTTAGCTTTTTCATAGTAGAATTTCCCATAAACTTCTAGAAGGTTCGTATATACAGATTATTTATAGCTTCTCGACATTACTTGAACAAGGAATTTGAGTAAGAGGTGGATTCAGTTTTAACTTCTCCCTCCACCACCTAGGAGTGGTATCACCTTAAAACAATTTGCCTCTTTGAGTCTCAATTCTCTTATCAATAAAAAGGGGGAAATAGAGCCAGCCCTGTAGCACAGTGGTCAGAACCCATGCATAGGGAACTGGATCCCACATGGCTGATCTCAGTTTGAATCCCAGCCTGGTGGCCTGAAAGCATGCCAGCCCTGTGTGCATGAATGCCCCAAACCCTGACAGGATAGAGAAATGGAGGAAAAAGGATTGTGACATGGACATGTTCCATTGGAGGGCTTTCTCTCTCACACTCTCTCTCAAGTGTTAAATTACCTTCAATATCTTCAGTAAAAGAGAGATACTAATATCTATTTCACGGGGTTGTGGTAATTAAATGAGTTATAATCTATAAAGTGCTTATGATAAGAACTCAGTAAATGTTAATCTTATTGCCAACTACAAACCAAACTAGAACTGACTGATCATGAATTATCAATTAAAAGTCTAAAAAAGATTGGGGGAGGGGGTTGCGAACAGTTTCTTTGACCCAAATATCTGGAGCCAAGAGGGATCGTGTGTCCATGCCTCCGTTTACCCTGGTAGCTTTCTAGAACACACTGGAGAGTTGAACTTCTTTTTTTTTGGGTGTGGGGGGGGAGGTTTTCACTATAGGGTGGTGCGCTCGCCAGACAGACAGAGAGAGACATAGAGACAGAAAGCGAGAAATCACCCCCCAGAGGGGATGGTCATGCCGCAATCCCTTCTCCTCCATTCTCCTCTCGGGATCTTGGGCACGCATGCACACGCGCCCGGTGTGAGTTTTAAGCCACTGGGTTCGGGACGCGAACCGCGGTCGACTATGTGGGAGTCCAGCAACATAGCCATTACGCTAACTGCTGGTTCCCGAGAGTTGAACTTTCTATGTAAATTACAAAGCCTATTTCCAATCATGTCATTATTTCTGTTTTTTAAACCAGATAAATCTAACCTTTTCATCTATGTTCTCTAGAATGAAAAATATATTTTCCTTTTATCGGTTCCATACTACTCTTACTTAGTTGTCAGACATGTTTTGCACTAAATTCTTATGTCCTTTGCATTTTCTCTGGTAGTAGGCATCAGGGATGTTGTCTGGTGTATCCGGACCAGGGCCAGAACTTTTTTATTGCTACATATTTTGAATATCTTGAATGAACGGAAGTGGCTTCTTTCCATTCTTCTCTCTTCGCCAGGATCCAGACCTTGCAAGCCCTGACATGTCCTCCGAACGGGGCCCTGGTGGAGCTGAAGCAATCGGGGATCCCCTACAAAGCCTGAAACTGAAACCTCTAACGAAACCCTCATGTGGCTTTCTTTCCACTTAATGATTTTCCATTTGCCTTTCTGGCTCATGCCCTCTTCAGCAGTGAACTGCCAAGTGTCCCCCGATGCGGCCTGCACTTTTCTGTGCCTGGGTGCTGGCTGTTGTCTCTGGTCTGGGGCAGGGGTGTGCTCGCTCTTCCAAAAACATTGTTTCAGAGGCTCCAGTCAGAAGCACCCATTGCCGCAGGGAGGATCAGAATTACCAGAGCA